TTCTGTATTATATTTCTGAAAGAGTAAGTAAAAGAATAATGAAGTGATGTATTCCAAAATAGATAGAATAAAATGATTTTCTTGTGATTAGCGATAACAGTTATATCGTGTTTAACATTTTAATCCCGCAGGAATTGCTCTAATAATTTTAATTATTCTTGTTTTTGTAGCATCTTTATCTCTAACTGTAATTTTCAGTATAACGTTCGTATTTATTAGAAGTTTTATGTTACTAATACTTAAGATTTCTATTAACTTACTCTCCAGATGAATCAGCATCATTCATTCTTAATACTAAACGATTGACACAATCATGTGTTAACATTTTTGCTATACATTCAGCTAGAAAATAAAAAAAAAACCAATAATTAATTATCAAAAACAAAAATAAAATAAAATTTAATCTACGTGATTTTGATGATAAAGTTTGTAATAATTTTATAATAAGAATACGAAGTGATAAATCATTTTCAATAAGTGAAAGTGTCTAGAAAATAAAAATTTAATTTATAAAAAAGCAAAAAATTTTAATTTTCTTCTTTACTTTAACAAGTGTTTCACACAGATCACTATGACGTTGAATACGAAGAATATAATCTACTGTAGTCGGTTTTAATCCATCATAATCATTTGAAGGTAATGCTGATTTATTTGATGATTGAATTGTTTTAAATAATGTTTCAAGTATACATTTTTGAATACGTTTTATTGGTATACGAAGAAGATATCCTAATTAAATTTAAAAATAAGAAATTTATTTTGTCTAATTAAAATATTCATTACCAAAATCTGAATAAAAAGCAACAAGTGCTGATGAATAAATTTCTCCATCTGTTGATTTATCTAATAGAAATGGTTTTGAACAATTTTGTAAAATTTGAATAAATACATCAATATAATTTGGTTGTTGTTGACAAAGATCTCCGAGTATATTAAAAATTTTCATAAGATAATGTAAATCTTTGACAGCCTATAATAAGATTTTCTTTTTGATATGAATTTTTGAAAACAAAAAAAAAAAAAATAAATAAATACTTACAAATCCATTTTGATAATGTCGACATAATTTTTGACATAAACGAATACGTCGATCGATTAGATGTGACTTTAAAAAACAAAAAAAGAAATTCAATATGTATTATGTGAACGTTTTATTTTTTTTTTTTACTGAATGAGGATCGATGAGAAATTTGATGGTCTTTTCGAAATTGAATGGTTCTTCTTTCTAAATATTCAAATAGAAGATAAAAGAAATAAATTTTTGATTTATGAAAATTATCAAACCTTTATTTCATCACTCTCCGTTTTTGATGTTAGAACATGTACGAGAGGAAAACGTTTCTGTGGAATTGTTTCTAATGCTATATTTTTCATAGTTGGTTGTTGTTGCATTAACGTAGCCATATTCGATTATTATTACAAACAAAAAAAAAATTACACTTGCAATATTCACTCATAAAATTCAATCCATGTCATTCATGTGTAATTTTATTCAATATTGTTACTTAGCAACGACATGTTAAAAGTAGACTACTATCGTATAAAAGTTAAAAATATAAATAAACAGTTCATAATAATCAACTTTAATTTTCAAGATAATTGTTAGAAAAATAGAGTCAAGCAATAGATGGCGTTGTGATCAATAGTTAGATTTGAACATTAATCTGAAATGGATTTAGGAAACACATTTGTAAGATGTTCTTTTTTTTTTTTATATCAAAAATTTCTGATGAACATCAACCGAATGAAATACAATATGCGAATGAATGAGTCTCTGTCGACCATGTTAATAAATCGAAAATGATCAAGAGATTTGACAAAAGTAATCGAGAACCTGATGTATTGTTGCAAGTACTTGATTAGTAGTCAATAAGAGTCAGAGATTCGAGCTTCTTATTCTACAGGTCCTTCATTTATTTTCTACAGAGTACTGTTGTTTCATGACAATAGTAAGAATTTTTTAAAAATGTCATTTTGTGGATGTAGTAGGTAAGTATAGATATTAAACATACATAACCACTCATATAATAAAGATAATAGTGATGGAATGTTCATGGATCATGAACTACTTTTCAGACAAAATCAAGTTTGTTAATCAAAACGTATTACAATCGGATTGTTAATTATTTCCACAAGACTTATGTGAACGGATACAATTGAGCTTTTATTTTCTTTTGTGATCATGAGAAATAATGAAAATATCATTTTACTTTAGGCAATGAGTAAAGCCAGATTGTGAAATAGTAGCAGACATTTCCTGTAATCATCGATTATCTAGGATACATGCTCTCAAGATCGTTGATTCATGTCCATAGACGTTTCATGAGTTCATAGAATAATCCACAATAGAAGTACACTCAACAGTTGTATGAAGGCTACCAGATTGAGATGAACATGATTGCCTTTTTCAAGTACTGGTCATTGACTGAGCTTCTAATCATATTTCTCTCGTTAGTCCCAATGTCGATCTCGATTGCCGCAATTTGGAAAAAAAATGTCCTGATCACTAACTCGTAGAAGCGAAGGCGGAGTCGGGATAAGAACTAATCCTGTTCATCTGTACTTCTAGATCAAGATTTATTTGGTTTATTATGAATCTTTTTTTTAAGTTTCCCGGAGTTCTTAAGATCTTCGATGCTTCCTGGGCTTTGAAGCAGTACCAGTAGATAATGCTTTAATTCGATATCGATCAACGTCCAATTCATTCACGTAGCAAACGGTCTGAGTGCTGCTCAATCAGGATTTGTTCGCTCTATCACATTATTTTCCGAATTTTCGAGTAGTTCAATACGTTGTCAAAGCGCTGGAGATGACTCAGTTGATTACACTCTGATTTCTTGACTCATTGAATTTCGAGCTAACCGTTCAGGGTAGTCAATTCGAAATTTCATTTTTCTAAAATGAAGTTTTTCCGAGGATGGAAATGGGTATAGATAAACATAAAATTCAAAGTCATAGCCACACTCTACACTCTGTTTGTTCTATAGAACAAATCGCTGTTGGTCAAAACGTCAAAGCAAACAATTAAAGTATATATTTATGAAAAATGAAAAAGTTCATGGATACAACCATATTATTTCAAAGAAAGATATTCTGTTTGTAGGTTTAAGCAATAAAACGAGCAACATAGTTTTTAAAAAAATTCATCAACAAAAGCATCTGTAGTGAGATGATGGATGGAAACGTGCCTATCATATCATAGAAAAATTCATGAACATTAGTACATTCCAAATAGTAAAGTATTCAGCTAATATCTCAAATGCCAATATCAAAATAATGTTTGATTAGCCATAAAATATAACGATGAAAAAAGAAATTCAAAAAAAAAACAATTGATGAACTCCAACATTTTCAGGCGAAGAAGTGAATATTTCTATTGTAAATGATTATGAAACATCCAAGGAAAAATTATCTTTGCTTTTTATTTGTTCTAAAACTGAACGGATGAAACACAAAGTTATAGTACTGTATAATGCTCTTCGTAGACTACCAACCATAATATAAAGCAATTCAAAGAGGATATGCATATAAGATATTATTTGTAGACAACGTATTAAAGTTTTTTCGTAAGTTTCTGTATATTTCACGTGATTTTATTCGCGATAGATGAAAGGAAATCTTTTTATTTTTTGACATTGAATTGCAACAATGAATAATGAAAATTGACTAAAAAATCTTAGATATAAAATCTTGGTTATAGATAATCACCCATAAAAATTTGTTCTTCAAAACAGAATATCAAATACTGTGTATATTACTATGTAAATACGCTAATTTACCGTTTATCTTTATCAACTACCTAATGTATTATAAATGATATATCGTCGGAAAAAAAATAGAACACAATCTAAAACGTAAAATTTAATTTTCAATTCTGAAGTGATTCGATTTATCGATGTCAAAGATGTCTATTCCACTAGGTAGACAAATTTTTCTAATTACGAAGACAAACAACTATTTTTCAGTGTAACAACGAAAACTAAAAAGTTATCGATCTATTTGTCGTATCGATTATCTATTCAATCTCATCGATGGTTTCGTCACAATAAATATACATACTATATATAAGTTTCGTTTCAAAGGACATAATTTTTCATATCATGAGGTAGTTTTTATTTTCAGAAGAAATTTTTTCCTTGATAAAGATATGATCTTGATTATAATAACAAAACTCAAGAATCAAATTTTTCACTCTTTATTTGACATAAATAAAAGAAAGTTAAATAAACTGATTCTTTTTCTCATTCAGATACTGCCTTAGAATTTTTCATAAACACATAATTCAAATACGAACAAATTCATTACAATTCAGAAATTATGTTAAATTGTACACTCAATAAACAATACCATACTTTCTCTTGATAATTCTTTCAATTTTAAATATTGTCATATTTTTTTTAGATCTTTTTATATTATGTGTCTATTTTTACCTTTCGTTTAATTTCTATCATATTTCAAATGATATATCGATATCCACTTACAAAAATATAGTTTCAACCTTGAAAAACATCGATAATGTGAAAAATATTGTCTTTAGTCTTATATGAAATAAAAAATTGATTAATCATCTATTTGAAAATAGAACCTATTAGGTTTTATTTTTGAAATTATTTTTGCTCTACTAGCGGATTACTATACGATTGATGCTTGCAATAAACATGTGTATATTGCCATCAATATGTATTCAACGTTCTTCAGCACTTATTTTTATATGATCATGAGTATCTAGAAGGAAAGAAATAAGTAAAGGATAAATAAGCTCTCGAGTAATACTGATTTGTCAATGCTGAAACTGAAGATTGAATAAATTCTAGTCGTCGGATGGATTAGCTATTAGATTAGTGTACATTAAGCGACATCTATTAACAACCAATCAGTGAATTAGAATCAACTCAGTCTTTAGCGCTTCAGTAAAAAACTATTCTTTACTCAAACTATCGCCAGCATTGACGTGATAAAATGACAAAAAAAGAACCGAACTGGGCTATAGACGTCATTCGATGAATAATCATTCTATTCCTATTCCAATTCCGTGCCTCCGTTATTATTCACATATACTTTGACGTGTGCCAACTGCTTGTTATTTTTGCAAACTTTTTTTTTTCATTCAATAGACGACAGCAGACAAGAAGGTAGAAATACGCTCTATGTATCCTAATCAACAATATTCTCAACCAGGTGGAGGAAGAGGTGCTCCATATTCGCAACAACCACCCTATGGGGTTCCACATGGAATAGCTGGGTAAGATTAAATACTAATTAAGAACGAAATAAAATTAATTAAACTTGACATTATAGTGAGATGTATTTGTCAGGGTTTCATATAGAAAACTTAGAAATTAAAATAAATGTCAATAAATCGATATAAAAGAAAGTTTATGTCTTGTAGTGGTTATCAACAAAATACGTCAACACCATACGGTGGTAATCAAGGTGGATTCGAAGGTCCTAGTAATCCATACAATCAAGGAGGATATCCTTCTTATGGCCAAAGCGGTAACTATGGTCCTGGAGGTTATTCAACTTTTAATCAACAACCGTATGGTGCCAATCCGTATGCACAAAATCCCAGCACTTCAGGAACTGGATATCCTCCACCACAAACTAGTGGCTATGGACCTAGTTCTGGTAATTTCATGCCAAATGACCAACGTACACAAAGATTGAATCAAGTTACTCAACAATATGAAATCAATCAACAATTTGCTGCACGTCTATATGCACTTGGAAATTGTGAAGTTGTTGTTTTATGTGATGATTCAGGTAGTATGAATACACCAATTCAAGGTACGAATCAAACACGATGGGATGAATTAAAATCTGTATGTATCATAGATAAATTTCTTTTTTTTTTTTATATAATCATTATTATTAAACCTAGCTTGTTAACATTGTTGTTGACATCTGTTCTGTTATGGATTCAAATGGTATTGATATTTATTTCTTAAATCGAGATCCTATGCTTAATGTAACTGATGCACGTTATGTTCGTCAAGTATTTAATGCGCCTCCACAAGGTTTAACACCACTTGTACCAGCATTACGAAGAGTTCTTGCAGCTAAACGTAATCAACCATATGAAAAGAAATTATTAATTCTTATTGCTACTGATGGGTATGACGAAAACAAGAAGAAAAAAAAAAGAGTAAATCATTTGTTTTCAAAATATAATTTTTTTTTGTTTTTAGAGCACCAACTAATGAATATGGTCAACTTGATGTTGGTGCATTAGAAGCTGTTTTACGTCATGAACGTACACCACAAACTTATGTTACATTTTTAGCATGTACAGATGATCTTCAAACAGTAAGTTATTTATCAAATTGGGATAGAGTGATACCAAATTTGGATGTTATGGATGATTATCGTTCGGAACGTGCTGAAATTCAACGAACACGTGGAGGAAATTTTCCATTTTCATTTGGTGATTATATTGTTAAATCTTTATTGGGTTCTATTGATTCTTGGTGAGTATCTTTATTTTTTCCATATTTAATTTTTATGAAGATTTTTTTTTTTTTTTTGTGTGTGTTGTAGGTTCGATTCATTAGATGATCGTGCTTAGAAAATCTAAACTATATCGAAAAATCGAAGACTTTATTCTACTTTTATATAATTAAAATATTATACTAAAGCTTATTTTAATCTTCAAAATATTCAGAATAAAATATCTTTATATTGTGAGAGAATTAAAGTTTGTTGATACTTGGCAAAGAACCAAAAAGAATTCATTTCTGTGTGTATTATTTATAGGAAAGTTACTTGGATCGATTTCATTGTATTCTAAATAAGCACTAAATGTTTTTAGATGAATTTAAAAAGAGTCATAGAAATCAAATATAGCCTTTCATATAATAACAAGATAAGAAGTTAATCTTATTGAAATTATCACTTTCTATTAAAGTATCTAATTTCTATGACGTTTCACAAGTTTTAATACTCTTTTTTGTTTTTATATTCATCTATACTTTTTCGATTACACCAATTAGATATGAAGAAAATTTAACCTTACATAAAAATGTGTCAGACTTACAAGTATCAAAAATTACTAATAATTTAAAAATATTTTTCATTAAATTATTTTATAAATTCGATATAACTTGATGATACATCTTTGAACAAAAAAAAAAAGCATTCATATGAAATTGATCAAAGAAAGAATCTTACATTTTTTCATAAATAATATTCAAGGACCATGTAAGACAAGTTTTTTCTAGTATAAAATAAAATAAATAGCAATTATTCTACGTAAAACAAAAACAATCGTAAGTAAAATCCGGTACAAAATAAAACATTAGAAAATTATACAAACATAAATCAATTTATCTCTTACATACAATTACACATTGCTGTCAACGTGTTACATGAGGAGGAAACAGATGTGTATATTATTTAGGTATAATTACTCATCATAACATCAAGAACAATAAATGCTTGTATGATTCATTTTAGAAATGATCAGAAAATGATGTCTTAAGTGTTAAAAAACACATAAAAAAGGTCTATATGTAACAGCTTTAAAAATAGAACATTAATTTTTTTTTAACATTGATCGTTTATAAATCAATAATATCTAACTGTATACATATATATATATGTTTGCCATATATCTTTTAATCAGCATACTATTAAAGCTCGAACATATAAAAACTTTTTTTTTTATTTGAAAACTTCAATGAGTGAAAAAAAACATTCTGTAATATTTACAAAAGATAATATTTATTAGAAATCGATTTATTCTCTCTGAAATGTTGATCTACTGTCTTGTTTAGTTGAGTTTTAGATGAATATCTTTCTCATTGAATAAATCTTTCATCTATACTATAATTAAACATATTTGAATTATCTCATTATTCACAAATATCTACTATAATTTCTTAACAATCAGTTTATATTATGTATTGAATATATTTTGATTTTTCAATTGTCATAAACCAGATTGAATTTCTATCGTCTGTAATATGAAACTGTTTTGACAATAATACATAACTTAAGAGATTTTAAAGTAACGTTTGTCGTAAAAGTTCTTGGATAAATGTCAAATTCAACTATACTCGAACAGAAAGTGATAGGAAGATCATTCCACTTTTTTTTTGGATAGAGCATGAATTCTACTTTGCTAAGACATGTGTCACTGACTGTTACTCATGTACTACAGTAGTAAAATCATTTTGATGTTTTCAAAACTATGAAAAAGGACACTATAAAAATAAATTGTATATCTTAACAAGTGTATGCACTTTTTGAACTCAAATGATATCTAGATTATTTATTTGTTTAAATTTTACTTCGAAGAAAAAAATACTAATGCAAACGTACTTCTTCTTTAAAGAGATCTGATTTCTGAAAGTTTTGGTATCTTGAGCAAACATTTGAATTAAAAGTTTCTAGATATTCTTGCAGTTTCGAAATAGTTCGCTCCGTCATAGTCGATCTCGTTTTAATTGCTTGTAGGAAAAAAAGGTACAGTTAATGATAAGATTTTCGAACAATGAATACTCAAATTTTCAAAAAAAGAAGACGTATTCTATAGTGGCAAAGTCAGAAAATTGTCCAAGATATTTTGCAACATCTATTATTTGAACATTCTCTACATTGAATAAGTAAATCCCCATCAAATAATGTATTGATAACTAGCACCCTCTATTTTAATACCTGATTGACTAACTTTCCTACTTAATAAAAATTAGATGAATAAAATAAATAAATGAATAAATAATCAACTATTTACACAGAAAGACAAAATATTTGTTAATCATGATCATCTATAGTAAATAATGATAAAAAAATTAATCAAAACCTGTTTACCAATTTTAATGATGTATCTAGCCAAAGAACAATATGAACCTCTTCTTTCTTCATCATCAACTAATAATCTAAGTGAACATTCAAATGATTTTGTTCGAATTTCAAATCCACGTCGATTAATTAAATTAAGTTAAGTTTTATTGGATTTATCTTTATATCAATGAATAGTGAATCACTTAGAACACTTCTCATTCGAGTACAAATTCTGTTACTGTACAAAATATCAACCATTTTTCGAAGACGAAGGTGTTTTATAGTTTCGATTTTTTTGAAGTTTAATTTTTCATTAAATTAATTAATTATTCGTTTTTTTTTTCTTCTCTTTAGGCGACGAACAGTTATTTTTACAATTGCTATTATTTCACTTCTTATTGTATTTGGTGTTATCTTCGGTCTTATTTATGGTTTGAAAACACGTAAGAAAAATTCAGATGATTAATGATTTTCATTTAAAAATTTTATCTATAACTTTAATTAATAATTATTTATTAAGAAATAAGTCTATGATAGAATGTAAACAAAATTTGAACTAAAAAATTGTTTCAATATAGATTTGCTTTTGAATTAGATTTGATTCAATGCATATCTATTTTTTTTAAAATTTATAGAATTTAATAATCGATTTCTTAAAATATATCTTAAAAATAGACACTATTCTTTTCATTTATATACAGTAATGCTATAAACTGATTGTTGGCTTCATATAAAATTAGATGATAATTTCTACAATAAAAACTATAAAACTTATGCAGCTAATACCCTCCGACTTCATTCGATCATATGCCGATCAATAGAGGATATTGAACTAGCAAAAAAAAAAGCTAAAAAGAATATCGGTCATTGGTGTTTCCTTCAAAAGTTATGGAGACTTTTCTAGTTTCTACAGCAAAAAATAGTGGAAATGAAAAAATTTAGAATTTCGTCGAGAAAAGTCATAGACGATTAAAACCTTTTATTTTTAAGACCTTAAAGAGCTACTATGCATCCATAAAGTTTCAGTTCTCTAGCCGATTCTCTTCTCGAATTATAGTACTTTCTATTTGAAAGAGAAATTCTTGAGTAAATCTATGATGTAATGAGGTTTTCGTTGATCTCATATCTCTTTTCTCTCATTATGACCACACGACGTTTTCATATTCTCTTTTGCCTATCTTGCAAGTGAGTGCATTCGGCTGAAGAATAGATTTCTTGTACTTACTCGCCCAACTACTCAATTAGAAAGTCCTATGACTTGAAAAGGAAACGGCTTAGAGAGCTGAAACTTTCAAGGTATATGGATGACGATCAGCATTTTGTGCTCTCTTTGAAAATAGGATTAGAAATATTATGTTTATTTTTGTTCGAGACTATTGAAGGAGTTTTTTTAAAGGTCCAACAATTCAGATGGAATGACGAGTCAATATGAAACTATAGATATTTTATCAAGAGCTCTTTTCTATAAAAAAAAACTTTTTTTGGCCAAAGGATCGATTTTTCGAAAATGAGGATTGAAGAGAACGAAAATTGAAGTACTCTGTAAGAAAAAAACTCCAATAGTACATTTTGTAGAGCAGCTTCCACTCTGCAAGTTAAGATATTAATACAGATGTCAACATTTACTTTCGAACTGCAATAATGAAAGTGCAAAAGTGTATAGAAAAATTTTCTCATTGATTTCAAGAAAATTTTTAAGCCTATATTCGGCAATGGTTATAACCCATAGCTTTTGATTCCTCGAAAAACACTTTCAAGATAGTCAAAAATCAACAAACATTTTGCTTAAAAATCTCCGGCCCATCCATTAGTAGACCTTTAAAACTACCAATGGAAAAAATAAAGCTCTGTACAACTTTTCTACACAAAATTCTGAATTTTTTCATTTTCACTGGTTTTTTTTGTTCTCTGGGAAAATTAGAAAATCATCCGTAACGTTTAAAAGAAACACCAACGGTCGATATCCTTTTTAACTTTCTACTATCTCGATAAACTCTATCGATTGACGCATGAACAAATGAAACTGGAGGATATCACTTGAATGTATTTCCTCATTAGATTAATAATTTCAATAGAAAATCATTGTATTTATTAAATAAAATAGTATTACTCATTTTAATTTAATGAATATTTTTTTTTTTTTTCTTTCTAGCTTTTCCTGATACAAATGGTAAAACTTGTGGTGCTAGTCATGAAACTTATATTATAAATGGTACATCAATATTAGGCAAATATTCTCGAGCAGCTATCGCTGTTGATAATGTTGAATGTTCAAAAATTGGACGTCAAATATTAGAAAAAAATGGTACGACTATGGATGCTGCTCTAGCAGCAGCTATTTGTAATGGTGTTATGAGTGCACATTCAATGGGTATTGGTGGTGGATGTACTATCTTAATTTATTCTAAGTAAAATTCAAATTTCTTTTCTATTTTTAATTTTGTTTTTTTTTTCGCTAATTTTTAGGAAGAAAAATAAAGCATATAGTCTTATTGGAGTATGTTTTAAGAAAAGAAATCTTCTTCATTTGATGATTAATATTTGTAGAGAGAACGAGCACCATTAGCTGCAAATGCAACTATGTTTATCGGTCGAGAAAATATGTCTATGACTGGTAAAGTATTTAATTAAAGAGAAATTATTTTTCTAATTAATAATTTTTCTTTTTCTTTTTTTTTATAGGTGGTTTAGCTATTGCTGTTCCAGGTGAATTACGAGCTTATAAAAAAGCTTATGATGAATTTGGTGGAGGTGTTTCATGGCGTGATCTTTTTCAACCGACTA